AATGAGAATCTTTTCCATAAATAGACAATGTTTTAATTTTATCTTTTTTCAACGACAAAAAAAAAAAATAATATTTGAATGAGCATAAATTTATTAACCATCTTGCTCCGTAACCGGTTTTTTTTTTTTTTTTTTTTTTGTTATTTTTATTTTATTTTTTTTTTTAATTGATGCCCGATTCAATGCCTCTGAGAAAAAACAAGGAAATTTTTCTCGTTATTTTAGGCATATCTAACCTGATAAAATTGGTTTTGACGATAACCTTTTGATTTTTTTTCACAATACCTTTCACCAGTACACCCGAAATAACGAGTTTTTGAAAAAAATTTCCGAGTTAAGAATCATGTCAAAATTAGTCTCATTCATAACATTTTAGTGTCACGGTAACTCAAATGCCTTTCGTACTCGGAAAATAAATCAGTTAATTTAGATCCATTATCAAAAGGAAAAACAGGTTCTCGATTTTCCTGTAATAAACATTACAATAAAAATGATCCCATTATCCCATTTAAATATTGTAAATTGCACAAGGAATAATCACGCTCTATTACACAAATAGCTAAATGAAAAAATAAAACCGAGTTTTGGTGGCACATTGTCGACTTTTTAAACAACGCGTTTTAGGATAAGCCTGTAACCGATAACCTGTCATTTGTTATACTTAATAAGGTGTTCATCCCCTTATAAGATTGTGAAAATTGGCGTTTGTTTTTTCCCTCAAGATGTCTCTCAACCGGTTTTTGACGTCTCCGCATTTCCATATTGGGTAAAAAAAATATTTGTTAATGTGATAAAAGCGGTCGAATAATAAAAAAAACGGGTTAAGATTCTCGTTATAATGGTTCAACGTTAGAATGGTGAAACAATATATATTACGCCGAATGGATACTAGTCCCAAAAAATATCAATAAAAGAATCTGCGGTGTCAAATTAGACCCGAAAACATCATTCAAAAGGATTGTTTTGATGCAACGTTTCTCTCCGTAAAAAACAATCACGAAAAACACAACTAATCATCTTGGACACAACATGAATTTAAACAGAAATTTATGGTAAGAGTAATTTATTAGATTTTCTTATAAACAATAGATTAGGTTTCGGATAATTATTCCGTTTGTTAATTATGATTTTTTACGCGATATTTGAAACTTTAAAAAAAATATATATATATAAAGGTAAAAGGGTAAATATCTTTTTCTATATTTGTAAAACAGGGGTGAGAAATATTTAATATTTAAAATGAGAATCTTTTGCCGAAAATTTTTTTTTACTTAACCGTGGTATTATGATTATAGGTTTTAGACGCAGTTACTACGGATCTTTTTGTGTCGCCCTGAAAAAAATGGTATCGGATTTAGTTGCCGGGTAATAACATGATTTGCTCTTTCTCGTGACTTGATTTACTGATACGTTTGTCACGCATTATTTGTCACGGATTAGGATTGGTTTTCTAGGTGGGATCACAATGATAGGACCACTTCAGATTTTTCAGAAATCATAAGATTCCCGCATGCATAACGGTTTTTTTTTTTGTTCGGAGTCGGTTGTTACGGCGATCATTCAACAGGTACTGCGCACGTAAATCGCCAACGTTGCCTTGCTGAGGAGTGCGATTAAAATCGCCTCTAATTTCTTAATTCGCTTGCGTAGCTTCTCAATTTTGATCTCTCTCTCTCTCTCTCTCTCTCTCTCTCTCTCGGTCATTATCCTCTAAATTATTACAATAGCAAAATGTTTATTATCAATCATATCCAGGGGTAAGTCATATGATGGAAGTTTCACTGAGAAAAAAATTTTTTTCGGACATTTCGGACACTCGTGTCACGTATGGGGTTGCAATCAATTTAGATTCTTGTTTTCTTGAACCTTTTTTTTTATGTCCACTATTTTGTTCCGTATCACAACAGTCACAAAAAATCAAGCAGTTAAACGTGATTTTAGAAGTTTATTTACCCTGTTGCATGGGTCATATGTATGTATCATGTAAGGGTCCTCCCTTTTTTCTATGAACTTTCCAAAAAAGGAGAACAAGAATTTAATCAGGAACCAATTTTGTTTGAAATTTTCAAATAAAATAAAAAAAAAAAAATTATAACTAAATTAAAAAAACATTTCTTGGCGCTTGTTACATTTATTTGGTTGTCCTTGATGTAGTGTAAAATATAACTTCATATTTATTTACGTTTGACAAATTTCAACTAAATATTACTTTTCATATATTAAGTTTATCTAGAATGTATCTTGAATGTATCTTAGATCTCCACAATCTTAGATTCCCAACTCTCTTTTTGTTTTAAAATGATTTCCCAAGTTGATTCACGTGATCAACCTTAGCTCATAAGGACGTACGTGACTCGTTCCTTTCCAACAAAAGGGCACAATTTTGTTTAATCCAGACATGAACTTTTTTTTCACCTGAGGAAAAAAGCCCCATCGAATCGATGACTATGTCGACTGTTTTGTGGCGTCCACCTTTCCAGTAAAATTTTTTTAAAGAAAAAAAAAAAAAGGAAAAAACGGGAATAAACGAATTTATGTTTTGTAATCATATCACCTATCAAAGCGTGGCCTTCACAAACGTTCATTTTTTTCATTCGTCCTTCATATATCAACAATCCTTATGTAATGTGATAAAACAAAAAAAAAACAAAAAAAAAAAAAAAAAGTTTCTTTTGGTGCATAAAGAATTAAAATCCTTTCGAATTGTACAAAAACTGCACAGCTCGAGGTACATCAAGTATTTATTGTGCTTGTGTAATCTTTCTTTCGACTTTCTGGTGACGCGTCTCATAAAGAAGGAATAAAAATTCGGTCGTGAAACCTTTGCTAAACAGCTTTGCGGAGCAATATTTGCCAAATCCGTTAAAGCAATAGGTTTTTGAACTTTCCTTATTTGATGATGCAATTTACTCGACATGAGGGATTTATCAAAAAAAAAAAAAAAAAAAAAGACTTTGTCCAGATATTCCAAATATGTACATATAAATTTAATAAAATATAAATCATCTCACACACGCACAAAAAGAAAAAAGCGCACCAAAAAAAAAAAAATAATAAAAATTCTACTCACAAAAAAAAATAATAATGAAAATATATATAAGAAAAATTAAATATTCATCATACAGGAAAAGTTTCATTTCATTTCATTTACTGTATGTGGTAAATCAGTCAAAATATCGCATGGGCATGGATTGGAACAATGAAGTTTTTATAAATCCTTCCAATCAAAAGATTGCCAATCAATTACCTGCATGATTTCTAGTAAAAATCAAAAGTAGAAAAAATATATACCTGAAAATCCCTTTTTTTGTCAGAATAGTCGGAGATGCTCGATAAACTCTGCATGTTTAAATCAGGTCATTAAATCGGAGTTCAATTTACCACAAATAATGTTTTTTTTTTTTAAAAAAAAAAAAATAAACTGTATAAACTATGTGTAATTTTTTTTTAAAACAATCCAATGTATATAATATAAATTATTTATTTATTTATATAATTTACAGTATTTACTAATTATACATTTATAACGTTCAAACATCACCCACCGATCAACAAATTTATTAAAATATTATGTACATACTGTATAATATTATACACATAAAAAAACGATTTATATAAATGGGCCCAAAATTTGATCCAAAATTTTTTTTTAAAAAAAAAAAATAAAAAATAAAAAATCGTTCTACAGTTATATTATCATACACATTTTTTTTTTTTAATAAAAATAAAATTCAATTTTAACAAAATGGGAACGCAACATTCGAAAAAGCTGAATACAAAAAAATCCTTTGCAAATAAAATAAAACAAAACTTAATTACGTCAGATGCCAAATATGACTCAAAAGCCATCGACAGAATTCACTCCCATCATTACTTGCTGAAGCATATATGGAAAGATAATTTTAGTTCACCGATTCGTTCCTTGTTGGAATCGGGGGTTATTAACGCTCTCGAGGTTAAATGCGGTCCTGGGACGTGGATTTTAGATATGGCCACCGACTTTCCACGGTGTTCGTTTACGGGAATTGATGCCGAACAAATCTTTCCTTCGGAAATAAAACCAAAGAATGCTAAATTCGTCCTCGCGGAACATTTACCCTTTTCTTCCTCAACGTTCTCTTATGTACATATAAATCTCATCGAACACATGTACATGGAACAATTATTTTGGCAAAGTGATATAATAAATGATATTATTAAAATCATGAAAAGTGATTCGTGGATGGAAATCACCACCTGGAACTTTGAATTCGAAAATATTGGAAGTGTAACTCAAAAGTTGGTTTCGGCCTGTAAGCTGTTTATCATGATTTGCCTTTGTTATACTATGTTTGATTACATGGAAGATTCGAGAATTTTAACCTTTTTTGACGCTCTTACTTCTAGTAATATCGTGCTTCGAAAATCATGTTTCATTATCTGAATCCATTTCTTTATTACCCTCGAATTGCGAACGATTAAAAAATATGAATATTCTCCAAAATGATATACCCGTAGGAAAATGGGCCGGTCTTATTGGTGAATTGGTATGTATAAATTTTCAAGGATCGTTCATGCAAGCATCGTGTCCAATTAGGAACTTAATCTTTTTTCCCTTCTTCTTAGGTAATGGACGATTTGTTGATTACTTTTAAAGGATACAGTGACAGAATTTGTAACAAATTAAATATCACCCCTGAACAGTACAACCTATTCCTGGAAGAGGTCGTTAAAGAAATCGAAGAGAATCAAACGGTCTTTAAAACTCATAGATTCTATGGTCAAAAGCCATAAAGTTTGGTTTACCTTTTTATACATATAAATCATTTATTTAGAAATATTTCACTTAATGTTAATATATATGCGTAAGTATGAATATCATGTATTTACTCTTCATTCATATCTTGCTCTTGAAAACCATTTATGTAGTATAAACATTTTCTTCCCTCTTTCTAATTTTATCTATAATGTAAAAAAAAAAAAAAAAATGCATAAAAATATTATAAATATATTCATAATATAATATGTATAACTACAAAAGGTATTTTGCTTTTTAAAAAGAAAAAAATAAATAAATAAATAAATAAAAATATTTCTGTTTCAAAACACGTAAAATGAGAACTATTCGACGATTGATTTTGGTTCTATCGATAACGCGACCGAATGATTTGATTCCTGAACAAAATAAATTTCAATGTCACTACAGCATATTACGGATCATCATCCATCAATTAAATAAGTAAGATCCAATTTTTAAAGTATACATGCATGTCAGAAAAACAAATTAAAGACGGACCTAGAATTTAACGTAATCATGGTAATATTTCACAGGAACACCAAACCAATTTGGAAATCAATTAAAAAAGAAATGAAATGAAATGAGAGAAATTCATGAACATTTACCCGGTATGATAATAAATTTTTTAATACATTATATGGGAATTAATTGGTTATTAACATATATTATCCAGATCGTCAACGGTTTCTTGCCGTTCATTATTATTTTTTTTTTTTTTCATTTCCAAACTTTATCCCTTAAAACGGAGATGTTAATTAAATGCGCGTAACGGTTTTTTTATTTATATGAAGAAACAATGAATTGAAAAAAATTTTTGATTACACAAATAAAACATAGGGTTTCATTTATCAGCTTGTTGCTTATTTGTTGAATCAATATTTATCTTAATAAATGACTTCTCATACTATTGCAAAAGTCTCTCCTTTTTCGAATTTTGACATCAGAATCGCATTGGTTTAACTTAAAAGTTCGAATTTCTAAATTGAAAAAAAAACAAGTTTTGAAGTAGAAATATAAATTCGAAAACAATATGAAAGATAATTGGAAGTTGATTTATGCATAGCAAAGATGCAAAACAATGAAAATTCTGGTAAATATCGGAATTTTTTTTTTAATTAATGTGTGCTACAATAGACAATAGCGAATTTGGAAATAAAGTCATGTGCCAAAAAAATAATGAAAACATCTTGTGTTCAAAAAATGTGAGGGGGTTGGGAACAAAAAAATTATAGTTCATTGATGATGAGTCTGTTTACATGCGTGCGACTATGATATCCCTTGTCACGCGTCACGTCGATCTTTTTCAAAAAGAAGGAATTTTTAATTTTCTATCCAATTAGCGAAATGTCAAATCAAATTATGCAAAATATGTGTGGATCCTCCAAAACGATAAATGTCATTTGAAAGAAGTTCCTTTATCTTTTTTCATTTTCTTTCATTTTTCGTATTATAACTCTACAAAAAAAAAAAAAAAAAAAAAAAAATGCAAAATCTTACCGTATTTCACATGAAAAGATTTTTTTTTTTGTATTGCTGACTGTATTTTGATCATTTATTCCTTATATAGAGTTTTTAGCCGACGAATAAACATAACCACATAACAAAACAAAAAAATCAAGCTTCAACCTATATAAATTAATCATTTGAACAAAGTCTTATAGAATTTCATTTAAATAACCTGATTTTTTTTTTTTTCAAAAAAAAAGTATTTTTTTTTTTAAAACCTAAAAAAAAATTTTTATTTATTAAACCTAAAAAAAAAAAAAATTTTTTTCTCTAAGATATATATTTAAATTGCTTGAAAAAAAAAAAAAATAATCATAATCTAAAAAACTCTAAAGAAACATCCAAGTAAAAAAGTAAAATATTACAAAAAGATGACTGTTCCATCCGACATACTAATCAAGTTTGCTCTACGCCCACGAAGTGAATCTGACAACGGTTACTCCAACCATAGATGTTACAAAATTTTCGACCAAGAAAACGATCAACGAATCACAGAGTTTTATACTCGTTTATACAAAATGTCTTTTGACTCTCACGTACAAGGTTGTACCAAGGAACACACTCTACCTGATAAAGATAAATTAGATGAAATTATTGACTCCGTAATTTTATCCGAATTTCGAAAGGAAATCGAGGAAAAAGTTTTGTTACATTCGTCTCTTTATGAACTTATCCTTCCTGAATTCAAATGTCATGGATTCGGGTTTTATTACAAGCCCGAATCTGATTATGAGATCTTTAATAAAAATTTAGAAGCTTGTTATTATGAAGCATGTCCCATGTATGTAAAGAATGTTGATTCGACTAACGAAATCAATTACTTGGAAAGATGGAATAAAGCAAGCGACCAAGAAAAAGAAATCTTTGCAAGTATTGCGATGTGTGCAAAAAAAGTTTTTGAATTCATGTATCCTAATTATGAGGAAATAGCGGAAAATATGAAAAAAAACAATTCGGAATTTAGTATTTCAATTGAATTTAATCCGAGAAGTCCAAAAGTATTTAACGATGAAAAAGATAAAAGTCTTTTCGTTGATAGAAGGGAAATGAATTTAAGATCTATTGAGAGGTGCTCAAAATTGTTGGACAACCTAACTGATGAATCCAGTAAAGGAAAGAAGGAATTTCAGGATCGTAATCTTGTAACCTCTGAACAACTACCACAACCTCCTTATCCTCAATTACGTTTGCGTAAGTTTTGTAACTTGTCACAATTTCACAGGGTAATTCAACAGTTTGTAATATTAATATTAATTTATTTGTTTTCTTATTTCCTTTTAGATGTCGGAAAACGTCTCGTCGTTATGTGCATTCTTTCGCTATCCTTCGTCATTGTTACTTCTTTGGCAAACTATTTCTTGGAGTATTGATAAATCTCATACAGCATTTTCCTTACTAATAGAGTACAATTTCTGTATTTTAATCATAAAATATTTACATTACTTACATTACTTGTATATTACTAAAAAAATATAAAATGTACTTTAGTTTTTTATTTATAAACCACGTGTTTCTAAAGATTTCATAAAAAAAATAAATAAATCATTTATAGAGTCTCAGCTTTACATGGGTTGTATGTATAATAACCAATAAGATTTCGTGCGAAGGGAAATCCGCTTCCTTTTTTTCTTCTTCATAAATTGATGTGAAATGGATCTTTGTTTTGATTCTCCTGTAGATAAGCAACTTTTCCATGTGCTTTATCTGATATGCATTCTATGTAAGGTACTTCCATTAGAGATTGTTCCTATTATCATGAATGAGCCGAATATTTATCTGATTCTCTTTATTTAGCATAAAATTTAATTTAGTGAACAATAATAACAACAATACAAACTATTCATTTTACATGCAAGTATGTAATCAAAAAAAAGGGACAGTTTGTCATGTGTAAAGAGAAATATATTTATTTATTTATAAATTTTAAAGCAAACGTACTGATTAAAATCACAGATAATCACTTTCTTTCATTACTGTTTAAGGATAATTATCCATCTATAATTACGGTATATACCAATTCTTGCAAAATATTACTATAATAAATTTACAAAATCCACCTCATTTATTAAATGGAAATAACGGAAAAAAACTTACAACATTGTCTTTGTTGTTATACATATC